GCACCACCAGGGCTCTATGTTCTGGAACTACTCCCCAGTCCTCAAGAGAAACTTGATCCAGGACACGCAGGTCCTCCCCACACTTCCAAGTATGAGTAAAGTTACGTACCATGAATGAGGCCAAACTGATTCCCCCTTAGTGGGACCTGATTGATTCCAGGGCTACCAATAACATCACAGATGCTAAAGCTGCTTGAGCACTACAAATCCCCCCCTCTGATTAAAGCCTACATCAGTCCTTGTAGAGGCAATAGATGGATACATCCTGTCCTCAGGACCAGTAATGCAGGAAACAGAACCCCTAAAGGCTGTAATCCTGGCCCTTTGGGAAGTGCTACAGTTCAATATGATCCATTCTCTACACTGCCTCCTAATTCTTGGAATTACCTGGCTGGAGCAGCACGACTCTTGCATCTCCTGGAGAGAAAAAAGGGTCTGCTTTCCCTTGGAATACTGCTGAAGGGTCTGCCTGTGTGCAGCTGGCTTCAAGCCTCCAGTCTCCGTTTCCTGTAGCCAATTGGAAACGACAGAACCTGTGGGGGAACGCAAGATGGTGGCAGCTAACCGGAAGGAGTCACTCCCAAGCTTGAGTCCCCATCTCCCTGAAGAGTATTGGGATTATGCAGACATTTTTTAAAAGAAAAATGTAGACACGCTACCTGTGCACCAAGACTACATAGACCTGCAGCCTGGGGCAAAGATCCCTTACGAACATATTTATGCGATGTCCAAACCAGAACTGGCAGCCCTTCGTGTGTGCGTCCAGGAAAACATGGACAAGGGCTTCATCTAGCACTTCACCTCCCCAGCAGGGGCTTCAGTCCTTTTCATTAAGAAAAAAGACAGAATGCTAAGCCTTTCTGTAGGCTATCGGGCCCTAAACCAGGTGATGGTCCAAAACCTGTATCCTCTGCCCTTAATATCAGAGTTACTAGATCATGTGTGGTCTGCCAGAATTTTTACCAAACTGGACTTCTGGGGTGCTTACAACCTAGTGCGCATCAGGGTAGGAGATGAATGGAAGACTGCCTTTCAAACCCCACTATGGGCACTTCAAATATTTAGTAATGCCATTCAGGCTGACAAATGCTCCTTCAACCTTTCAACACTTCACGAACAACATATTTTGAGACATCCTGGACCAGTATGTAATCATCCATCTCAATGACATACTTGTGTTTTCAGATAATCCTGAGCAGATTTGTTACCACATTCATTCCATCCTGAAGAGACTACAGAAGCCTGGCCTTTTTGTGACATTGGAAAAATGTACCTTTGACCAGTCCTCCACAGAATCCTTTCCCCAGAAGGAGTCAGGATGGACCCTCGGAAGGTAAAGGCCATCCGCAACTGGGCAGTGCCCTATTCCCTCCGGGAGTTACAGTTCTTCTGGGCTTTGCAAATTTTGCCAATTGTTCATTACAGGTTTCTCAAGGTAAATAGCCCCAGTAGCCAACCTACTCTGCAAGGCCATCAAATTTGTTTGGACACGTGAAGCTCGCCATGCTTTTGAACAGCTCAAGGCTGCTTTCACCACTGCTCTGCTTCTAACACACCCAGACTCGGCCCAGGCATTCATAGTGGAAGCCATGCCTCCAATGTAACCATCAAGGCCATACTGTCTCAGAGGCATGGTCCACAGCACGTGTTGCACCCCTGCACCAACTACTCCTGAAAACTCACCCCCTGAAGAATGGAATGATAAGATAATAAATAAGGAACTGCTCACAATTAAATTAGTCTTGGAATTCTGGCACCATCACCTCGAGGGAGCGCGACACCCAGTGCAAGTCTTTTCCGACCTTAAGAACCTGGAATATCTGTGGAAGGCTCAAGCCTTGAACCAAAGATAGCTCAGGTGGGCATTATTTTTCTCTCAGATCAATTTCATTATCACCTATCACCTGGGAATCCGAAATGGGACGGCCAGTCCCCTATCCCAAAAGGGGAATACTACCAATAGGGCGAGGGGCCTAATCAAAAACCACGCCATCTCCTGAAAACGCTCAAATTCCTTAGTGCACAATACACCAATAGCAGTTTTAATTGCACTGTTAAACAATATTAGAATACCATTTATTTAAATTTTTTGGGTTTTCTATACTTTCAAATATAGGGTTAGGGCTGGGGGCTCTGGGCTACAGCCCAGCTCAGGGCTTCAGCCCCCCCGGGGGCACGGGGCTCAGGAATTCAACCCCTGGGGTCTCAACACTTCAGCCCCTCTCGGGGCACGGTGCGGGGCTTCAGCCCAGTTTGGGGCTCGGAACTTCAGCTGTTCTCGCTGTGCTCCAGCCCCCTTGCCACCAGGGAAACTGCAGGCTGGAGCTGCTTCAGCCCCTCCGCTGTCCATGGAGCTGTGGGCTGAGGCTTCAAATCTCCCTGCCCTGATGCCTTCTGCCCCGCCCACAGGCATGTGATTAACACATTCAAAAAATTAACTCGTGAATTTTGCTTTCAGTTAATCACAGCCATTAACTGCGATTAATTGACAGCGCTAGTTGCTGACTTTCCAAAGTGCTGGGGGGTGCTCAACCTCTGGCTCTGTCCCAGACCCCACCCCAACTCCACCCCTTCCCCCAAGGCCCACCCCCACCTCACCTCTTCCCGCCCAGTTCCTCACCCTCCCCCGAGCATGCCATGTCCTCACTCTTCCCCTCTTCCCTCCAGAGCCTCCTGCCTGCATGCAGTGAAACAGCTGTTCGTGGTGGGCGGGAGGCATTGGAGGGGGGGAGGTGCTGATCCGTGGGGCCTGCTGGTGGGCAGGAGGCACTCTGGGGGGTGGGGGAAAGCTGATAGGGCGGCTGCTGGTGGGTGCTCAGAAGCCACCATTTTTTCCCTGTGAGTGCTTCAGCCCTGGAGCACCCACGGAGTCGGCGCCTATGCTGGTTTGAATCTTTAACAGAGAACTTTTTTCCTTGGGTGTCAGAATTTTGAGTTAAATACCTGGAAACAAAGAGGTTTAAGCAATCTAACTTAAAAACCCTTCTTCACCTGCAAAAAAATTGAACTGTGTCCTTTTTTTGATTCGTTATGATGTATGAAGAAGACTTGAAAGGATGGCTTTATTTCTTTATTTGTTGTTGTTTTTCATCCATATTAGAAATTCAGCATTTGTCTAGGCTTGAAAAGATTCTAGGATGGAGAACTAGTGAAATAATGCCAAAAGACCCAAAAGAAAGAAAGTTAAGCTACTGAGAAGGAAAGTGATTTTAGTCAATTTCTTGTAAAAACTCTTTGCTTTTTGTTCGTTTGTTTAACACCTATTTAACTGTAATAACTAATCAACATTTTGGAGAAATGAATTCTTTCTAAATGATTAAAGAACCTGCCCTTCACTTAAGTCTTCAGAGCATAGAATAAACATCTGAGACTACTGACATGTTCTCCCGAAAAAAAAACAGGGAAAATCAGACTTGGCAGTCTTGATATTTCTAAGGAAGCAGAAAAATAACTCTTCTCAGCATATGTAGCATAAATATGCAAAAAGATGGGTTTTGGTTTGGGGTTTTTGTAGATTTGTTTGCAGGTCATGTGTCAGTGCTCTCTTTTAAACTCCAGTTTGTATTTTATAATTTGTATTTTAAATTACTTTTGACAGTTCTACATAGTTGTGTAAGCTGCATGAACAACTTCTTTGTAACTATTTTGCTTGGTATTATTTTATACCTGTTGGATTTTGAGTTACCATTCATTGTGACCACCAGACAAATATTTGTGGTTTTAATTTTCAGTGCAATTTAACTCTGTTGGAGTACATATCCTCTTAGTTAACCCTGTGTTCTAAAGAAGGGACAATTGTCAACAAAAACTCTGTTTTGTTGTTAACAGCTTTGAAGGCCACTAGATGTCAGTACAACACACCTAAATAAGAAAGCTTTTGCTCTTTGAAGATAATAAATCTTAGAAGTGCATTTGTTAAATGTTTTTAATTAATATGTCTAAAATGTGAAAATAATGTCAAAAGTATGATAGTTTTTATTAATTTGAGTGTTCCTTTAAAATAATTTTTTGAGCGTCAGTGTACTTTCCAGTGTTATAAAACTGATTTGGCTAGTCAAATAGAATCTGTCTATGCAAACTCTTCAACTAATTGTTGACTCTTCAAATGAATGCTGGAAATTACTTGGTTTTTAACTTAATAGTGGAACATTTTATTAAAATCAGTGCATTAAAGGCAATTAAGTGATGACATTGGGATTTTCAATATGTGGATACATCCATCACACCATCTCACTCAACATGTTTACTGGAACATCATTGTTTAATTCAAGATAAGGTCATGTCCCTCAGCTGTTTGAGGGACTTCCAATAAATCAGGCTTGGATATGTAAACGCTGCTTTTTAATTAAAGAGCCTTAGTTCTACTGTATTCTACTGAGTCAGCTAGCACTGAGGAAACTGATAGACTTTCAGTCTGTAAATAGGGATGCTGGCTTTAAAATCTGTGCGGAGGGCTGGGACACCATATCTGAATATGTTAGAATAATCAATGCAAGAGATGGCCAATGCATGGTCAAAGGTATTTTTGTAGTGGGGAACAGTGTGGGTTATAGGTGTGTTAATTATGTTCACAGTTACATGCCAAAGAATCCTAATCCATTATTAGGGTTGTTATAGTTAAATTATCCAATCTGAAAAGAGAACTAATGGTATGAAAAGCAAATGTATAGTAGGTTGGACAGGTTTAATTGAAGTATTTCTACTTTAAAGAAAAGATCAAATGCATAGTAGAGGACAGGATACAGCAAGTCTTTTCATAAGTTGAGTGGAACTGTCATGAAACTTGTGTTTAAAAATAAAATATTGAAAAAGTAATTTTGAGAAGTCTAGAAAGAAAACATGAGGAAAAAAAGAAAAGTGGAAGGGCTTATGCTAAATTCTTTACTGTATTTTTCACATGGAGCATATGGTACTGCTTAAGGTTAATGTTGTCAAAGTGGAACTGATGTAAGGCCAGAATTAAAACATGAATAATATGACTGTCCAAATATGTTGAACAGTATCAACGTGGGAGAAGCCTCATGGTTTTGTTTCATCTTCATATGAGAGCAATAAAGATGACAATCATCCTGAAGAACACACCACAGCGGATTCAAAGGGATCTGAATCAGATGCTGAGAAGGATGGTAATAAAAGTGAAGTACAAAAGCCAGAAACAAACTTAAAGGTAAGTTTTTTTTCCCGTCAGATTTACTTTATGTACAATATTAATGTTCCGGAATAACGTGATTTCATCTTTCTGGGTGGCTATATTGATTGTAGTTAGGTTAAACCTGGTTGACGTTGATAAGAATTAGCACTTTATAGTGCTTGAAAAGCAAAATAAATAACTGTTAATCTATAGGAACATCAGCAGCACTGTTACACCATGGAAGATAGACTCCTCAATATGGGTGGCTTGGATGTAGCTAGAGGTGCTCATGGTTTCCAAGGAAGGGCATTGGCATCCCCATTAGATGATCCTCAGATTGATATTGACTTCAATATGTGGCTATAATTTTTGGCCCATATTCTTCAAAGGTATCTGTTTACAGTGGGACACCACAAGGTCATGGCCGTTGTCTGAAAATTTGACACACAGGCTTTCCTATTAATTGTCCGTCAAGACCAATGGTAGGATAAAAGTAATGTCAAAACTAGATACTATGTCTTCATATTAAAGTTCACAATAAAGGCTGTAATTTTAGGTATGGGTAGATAAAAATTTTCCAGTGCCTTTTATTTTGAGTCCAGAAACAGTAACTTGGGCTTCCAAAGATAGTGTTTTCATTTAAAGTGTGAAAATACCCAGATACAAATGCTTTAAGGTATTATTCCAATTTTCTTCCCCGCTGTGTACGAAACTAGTCAAAGTTCTACCAAATGTTATCCATAAGAAAGTGTGCAAAGAATATTTAATTAAAAAAAGAATTAAAAGTTAAATATATGTGATAGAGCTTTGTTTTGTAAATGTGTATGTGGTACTCCACTCATTTTCAGCTGTGTGAGACGGGACCTTTTAACTATAGCTTGTTCTAATGATTGTTCTTCTTATGCATGTATTGAATGACTGTCTCTTTCTGAATGGAGTAAGAAGCTTGTGGAGAAAAATAGTAAAATTCTACTAAAATATTGTTTCTTTATTGCTTTTGGTTTTCCTTGGTTGAAAAATATAAATAATAGATGTGAAAAAGAGCAATATTCTGTTGTTTCATTTAGGCATTTTTGCTGAAGGTGAGTTTTTTTTCTTCCTTAGATGAAAAGAGACAGCGATGAAGAAACAGAGGAAGAGAAGCCCCCCAAAGTTAAAAAGATAAGCCCTTATGGAGAGTGGCAGGAAGTTAAACAAGAAACTGATGTTGCTCAGGATGAGGCCCCGTCAGTTCCACAAGTTACCTCCCACAATGTATCTAAAAAGACAAACCCTTATGGAAACTGGGAGACAGTTACAGAAAAGGAAGACCCATAGTAAGTGTCCATTTACCATAAGTATTTATAAGAGGTCTATCACCTTGCTGTTCCAGAGGCCCTATCTATAGGGCCAAAACCTGCATTCCTCACTTAGGCAATATTAATACTCAAGTCAGTTGGAGTTTAGCCTGAGTAAAGATTTAAGGGTTTTACCCATGGTGATTATTTAAAAAGTAGTTTTCATTCTTTTTTAATGCTGAAGTTCATTATAATCACAGGGTAAACTTCACAAATTGCTGGTGATGGTTGTTTTCAATGGATTTAGCATTCAGATGCCATGGGCCAGATTTTTAAGTGTAGTTTTGTAGGCCCCATTCTGGGTGTGAATGCAAATTGGCATGCATACAATTTTTTCACCTTTAAAAATTTGGCTCTGTATATATTTTTCCAAAAATTCAGTAATATTTGATCAGAGAAGCAGATGATGCTTGTTGAACTCTCTCTCTATGTAAAAATTATAGGCTAAATCCTGCCCACATATTGCTACATATCTAGTAAAATCAGGTATTCTGCTTGCTTACACATTCATTAGATTAAACATGACCATGTGGTCTCATGTCTTGGAGGACATGGTAGAGCCTTCCCATGTTGCTTCTCTACAGGCAGCTAGAAATGGAGCTTGATCTTTTCAGATAGCTGTTATTGTTTGAGAGTTTCCCATATGATCTTTTCATAAATTAATTAAAATAATGCATTTTACTAGAGTAAAAATAGTCACTTATTATTAGTATAAAAATATCTTTCACTGTTAACAGTAAAAATATTTACTAGTTGCTACAAATTGCTTGTGTTATCCTCAAAAATATGGGAAGTTGGTACTTAGAGCAAGGCAATTGGGAGTCAAGACTCTTGGGTTCCGTTTCTGATTCTACCCGAAACTCGCTGGTTACCTTGTGGCAAGTCACTAAACCTCTTTGTGCTTAATTTTCCCTCACTGTAAAAGGGGGATAACACTTTCATGTCTCAGAAAGGTTAATTAATAAGGATGCGTGGATCCTTAGGTAAATGCAAAGTTGTACCATCGTTGGACCGTCTTATTGTTCAGTGTTTACACAACACCTAGTGGGATCTGGTCCATGAGTAGGACTCCTAAGCACTACAGTAATGCAAATAATAATAATAACAAATTCAACATTCCATAGGTAAGAATCATAGTATAATGTCACTTGTTCAGCTCAGTATAGTTAAGGCTGCCACTTTTCCCTTATTTCTTAAGCTTTCATGTAAGATGGTTGTCTGTGGACAAAAGAGACTTTGCTCAGTTGCATGGGGAAGACATGCCCTTCGTTGTCCTTTCTTCAAGAACTTCTGCGATGCAAGTCTTCTTTGTCTTGGTGGCAATTTAGCAAATTCTAATAAAAATGTTTATTCTTTTGTGGGTTCTCAGGTGCAGGCTGGGTTACCTGTGGTTCTAGTATAATGGAAGTGGGGAACAATGGCAAAAGGCACTCTCATACTCCAGAGGTGAGAGATGACTTTTGATTACAGGAAGGACGCAGTCACATCTTCCATTCATGGAGTGAGATGCTAGACTTATCGTGAGAGGTTTTCAGTTTAACCCACAAACATTAATTAATATTTAGATTATGGTAGCACAGAGCCTTGATCAGAATTAGAGCCCCATTAGCTTACCCACTGTAGAAACAAAGTGATAGAGCTCTGCGTGGATAAAAAAAGGTGTATCTGTATCCGATCCACGATCCGCAAAAATTGTCTGTGGATATCTGCATATATCTGCGGATTTTCAGGGCTCTAAAAAGCTCCACAGGTCACTGCACAGCAGTGACACAGGGCTGTGTCAAACCCCCGACCACCCCACCCCCCAGCCCCACTTCTCACCAAAGACCTCCTGTCCTCCCGCCTGCTCCTCCCCTGCTGTACCTCCTTCCTCGCTCCGGGCAGGGAGGCTACAATTCTGGATCCTTCTATGCAGTGCTGCCATCCCTGTGAGGGGCTCGGACACCCCTACGCAGTTGCAGTGGCTCTAATGCACGTAGCCATTGCCGCCTGCTCATTTAAAGAACAACCACACCTTCAAAACGGCGCTTGGCTCACTCCCTTCTGGGAGCTGTAGTTTACCTCCTCCCTCCGAGCAAGCTGGGGACTACAACTGCCAGAATGCCCAGCACGCTGCTGCGTGATTCAGAGAGCCAAGTTGGAGCCTGCAGGCTGGGTGACACCCGCAGTGTTCGGGTGTTTCCATGCTACAGAGCCTTGTGCGGATACAAATTTTGTATCCGCATCCGCGCTGCAATACACAATAATGGTCTGTGGATACAAAACGGATACCCATGGATTTACAGGGCTCTAGTGGTAGAGACCATCTGTTCCCTGAATAGCTTATAATTGAAGTTCATTTCAGGGACTTTAAAGGATTTTTTTTTTTTAAAGTTCCCAAAGTCAGTTGTAATATATATTTGATGACTATATATATATTGTCACATGCTGGGGTGCAATCCAGCCCAGTGAGGGGTTGTGTCATCCCCTGCCCTGCAACCTTGGGTGCTTCACAATGCCTTGCTATTGCAGCTCCCAGTCAGGACTACTCACAAACAACCATGCAGGTCACACCCTGAGTGTCTGTTTACCTGCAGCCCTGGTCCAGCAACTCTGATCCCAGCAGCCTGTCAGCAACACTCTGGCTTCCACCACCCAACACACTCCCAGTTCCGAATTTTCCCAAAAAACTGAGTTCTGCACTGTTCAGCCATTTCCTGGACAGTTCCGATATAAAGGTCCGTTGTCCCTGCAAAAGGTCAATATTCAACAGTTTGCTACTTTACCTGGAGTTACCAAACATTCAGTTTAAACAGAGCACAGGATTAGTTTAGATTAAAAATAAAACAAGTTCATTTAACTACAGAGAGAGAGAGATTTTAAGTGAGTACAAATATATGGTATTAAAGTCGAAAATGGTTACAAGAGAAATAGATAAAATGCTTTCTCTTAGCTAAAACTTAATAAGCTAGACTTGGTTCAAGGCAAAATCCTTACCACGTGTTCCCAGCAATCGGGCTGACCAAATTCCCAGGTCAGGATCTCCTCCGAAAGCCAAAGGGCTGGTTCCTTTGTCTTCTTAGGTAAAAGAGAGAGAAAGATAGCTTGAGTTTTTCTGCCCTTTTCTTTTATAATCCAGTTAACCTTTGAAGTGGATTCTTCTGATGGTTATTACTCAAAGCAAAGTTATTCAAACTGTAAAGAAGGCAACATGGAGTCTGGTGGTGAAGGAGGCGCCTTCTCACGTGTTTGGTGAAATGTAACTTTGCTTTGCCTCCTGCCATCTCTTCTCCCTGCTGTCTTGAGGACCCTGTTTACTACTTATATGTACATTGAGGTCAACACACAGTTCTGCGTTCAGTATACTTGTGCCTAGGCAGAGCTGTGTGGTTTTGAACATACGTGAAGAACATCATACAGGGATATTTCATAACTTTATATATACTGTTGCTACATACATTTCACCATGATATTATTGACCAGTGAGTTATTCGTTTTCAAATGATGCCTCACAAGATGTATTTTGTACAAAGATTATTATAATAGTGTGTAGGGTGTGAATATATGTGGCTAAACCACTGTGTGTTAGAATATATCAATCTTCAGGAGCACAGGCTTTTAGTGTGGTGGAGATTAGTCTAAAGCAGGTACAAAATATTCTGTATTTCCCTCCTTTCTTCATTAACCCTCAATCCAATTAATGGATCTGAGCAAAATTACTTCAAAAGTTCTTTTTAACCCCGTTATGATAGAGCCCATGGAATAAAGTGACTCTTTTAATTTATTTTTTTAATGTAATGACATTTATTCATTTATTTGTTTGTTTGTTTATTTGGTTAGGTGACATGACGTGACGTGACTTCTGCAGTGGCTGGTGTGGCTGACCTGGGGGCCAGCCGCTCAGGCGGTCCCGGGGACATCCACATCAGCTACTGCTGAAGTGGCTCCACAGCCAGCCGCAATGGCACTGCTGGAGCCGCAACTGGCTGTGCAGCTGGCCCTGGGGACCACCTGAGCAGCGGTCCTGGGGGCAACAGGAGCAGTGACAGGTGGGCGGTCCCAGGGGCAGCCAGAGCAGCTGCTGCTCAGTGGCCCCCAGCAGTTGGTGCTGCTGAACCTCGGGCCCCCGTCCCCAGAGCAGCCCCCCCACTCCCTAGAGCAGCGGCCCACCCCTACCCACCAGAGAAGCACGCCCGCACCCTAGCTAAGATTTAGTCAGGGGTATATAGTACAAGTCATGGACAGGTCATAGGCCATGAATTTTTGTTTATTGCCCATGACCTGTCCACGACTTTTACTAAAAATACCCAGGACTAAATCATAGCCTGATTTATTATGGATATAGCATCTCTGAGGCTGCACAGCAGGAAAACTGTACCAAACAAATTACAGATTTTTTGCCTCCAAGGGCTTACCGTTTAGTGGGAAAAGCTGGAACTGTGTGGAACAATACAGAAACAATGGCAGCTGATGACTGTAACTCAAACCTTATATTTCTTAGTTGTTAGGTTTAAGGTCTTATCCTGAGGACTGCTGGCTACCTGCAGCTCTGGTTGACTTCAGTGGTGGGTGTAGCTGCTTAGCCCCTGTTCAAAGTCAAGCTCATGTGACCTGATCCTGTGTGCTTTGGCAAAACTCCCTAATCATGTACCAAAAGATTGTTCCCTTAGATGTTGACCCTGCAAACACTTACGCACCTGCTTAACTTTACACATGAGTAGCAATAATGGCTATTATAGGACTTACATGAGCAAAATGCTTACATGCTTGAGTGTTTGCAGGATAGGGGCCCTAGTTTGCTATTTGTCAGCTCACCCAAGGCAAATACAGTATTTATTTTAATGCCAGATTATCATGGTCATGATGAGGATGGGCAAGTAAACTTGTGCCAGGGTTATAAAATTTCCTAACAATTTTGTCGGGCCGCTATGAAAATAAAAGTGCTATTTGCCGTCTGTGGTGCCGTTCTTGTCATCTAGCAGTTGTTGTTTTTTTACCTCCTCTCCTAGTGAAAAAGTGGACTTAGAGCTTCCCAGTACAGAGAGTGACTATCTCCCTCTGCCAGTGCTCCAGGTTCCAGAGGATGCAAAAATGATATTTAAAGAAAAAACAGTCACCTCCCTTGGAGACCTGACAGAAGAGGTTCCGATCTTCAAAAAGAGAAAATTTGAAAATGGAAAATCTAGAAATTTACGACAAAGACCAACTGATCAGTAATAAATTAACAAAGCATTTTAGATGCTGTTTAAACGAGAGAGGGTCAAAAGTTACTATTTTAAACAAGCTTTTTTTAAAGAAAATGTTGGTTAGAAATTAAGAATTTATAGTTATTCAAAAATGTATTGAATGTGGATTGTAATAAATTTTTTATTTTTATGTTAATGTGATTATATTTTGTTTTCTGAATGGATAATTGCACAATTTATGCAGTGTTGTAAATACATTTATTTTTTATTTTAACCCTGTTATCTGATTTCAGTTTGCTCAATGTGTGCTACTTAAAATACAATATAATATATAAGATTTTGACTACTCTCCTAGGTATATGGGAATACATCAATGCATAACTTGGAAAAATATGGTACAGAGCATGTGTGTGAACACAAGGAGTGGATAAGCGGCAGTCCACTGGTACCCATGTACTAGAAAGTAGAATTAAGACCCAATATGATATAAGCAGAGTGGCCTTCCAGCAAACAAGCTTTGATTTAATAGTTACAAAATTGAAGGTGATGCAAGTGCAACCCACTCCAAGCATAATTTGAGATTTTCAAAGCCAAGGTAGGGGAGTGAGCCACACAGATCCCATTTATTACAAAAGCGAGTTTTGAAACTTTTGAAAATCTCAGCCAAGTGTTCTAACTTAGGTTCATGGAAAGCAATACTGTACATACATGATAAATATATTGCAAGTATACAGAGATTCAAACCTTGTTCTGATTAATCTGTTTTTCACAATACCATGATAAGTACCACCTCTGTGTCACACGTATTTCTATGATATCTTCCCCATTGTGTTTTTTACTGTATATTTGTGTGTCCATGATTTTTCCTCCAGTTACACATTTATTTTCTTTCTTCTCTCCATATTTTCTTTGTCTGTTTCCTTGTAAGTCAGGAATGGTCACACACTAGTTTCATGAACAAGTCCTTCAAAGTTGGAGTCATGCTCCAATGCAAGACACTATTTTAGTGGCTGTTGCTTGTGTGAAATGTTCAGATGAGTGCACTGCCTAGCTACACAGTGCTAGATTACTGATCATAGAATCTGGTAGAGCCCAAGTGTATAGTGATCCCAACGTGTGGACGTATGTCAGGAGAGGAAAACAGAAGGATGATAGACATAGTTGATTGCAGGGCTGTCACAGAAAGCTGCAGCTTGAAGTCCATGACGTAAATGATTAAACACTTTCTTAAGGTTAGTGTCCTAAAATTCACAAATTGAGTTGATTTCTATTTTTTCAGATGATAGAGTGGTCTGTGTTTAGCATCATCAAAGGTCCATGGACTGCAAAAGATGTCAAGTATCAGGGGGGTAGCATGTTAGTCTGTATCCACAAAAACAACAAGGAGTCCGGTGGCACCTTAAAGACTAACAGATTTATTTAGGCTTAAGCTTTCATGGGTAAAAAACCTCACTTCTCCAGATGCATGGAGTGAAAGATACAGATGCAGACATTATATAATGACACATGAAGAGAAGGGAGTACCTCACAAGTGGAGAACCAGTGTTGACAGGGCCAATTCGATCAGGGTGGATGTAGTCCACTCCCAATAATAGATGAGGAGGTGTCAATTCCAGGAGAGGCAAAGCTGTTTTTGTAATGAGCCAGCCACTCCCAGTCCCTATTCAAGCCTAAATTAATGGTGTTAAATTTGCAAATGAATTTTAGTTCTGCTGTTTCTCTTTGAAGTCTGTTTCTGAAGTTTTTTTGTTCAAGAATAGTTACTTTTAAATCTGTTTTAGAATGTCCAGGGAGGTTAAAGTGTTCACCTACTGGCTTTTGTATGTTACCATTCCTGATGTAAAAGAAGATGGCTATACATAGAGCTTCCCAAATTGTTGGCTGTGATCCACTGGGTGCTCATGGACTTTCTAATGAAGAGCTAGTGTGGGTTCATAATGTGTAGTGGTGCCACTTCTAAAATCACGAGTACCTCGTTAGAGAGGGTCTCAGTCAATTATAGAGCATGTGTACAAGCTATGAAGTATTTCAGCGCCCAGATACAATGTGATTTACCTTATAAGTGCTTGCCCCCTGCATTTCTTTACTTGAGCAAAGGCAATGTCTTTGTGGCCCTGCAGTTCATTCTACAGGGGGTGTGACTTGCAGCATGCCCTAGCATGTTGTGCTGTCACTTCCCTGTGTGAATACTGCAGGCACAAATTAGGAGATACCCAGTTCACCGTTAACTTAGGCCTCTTTTAAACAAGACTATGTTAATGCAAACTTAGGTACCTTTTAGTTCATGTCAGCGGCATCCACATGGCGTTACAGTGCAGCATGCTAGTGCATGCTACAGTTCATACCCTCAGAGTCTGTACTGCAGGGGTGTGTAGACAAACCTAAAGAGTGGAGGATTGGGGACCTTGACTGTAAATTACAATAGAGATTTTTTTTAATTTTTTTTTTTGGAGCTCTGATATTTTCTGTGGATGCAGAGAGGAATTAAATGATTACAGATTCAGGCCCTTGTGTGCTGCTTGTGTTGCACTGTCATGACAATTGTGTTTATCGTGGTACCTGCCACGCTGTGAGAAATTTCAAGGAGCTGTTTAGTGTCCACTCAGAGACCAGCCCACATAGGAGCTCCACATAGGAGCAACTTTTCAGGATGCTCTGAATGGCCTTGTGGTCATAGGTCAAGTAATGGTTACATTTATTCTTTGCTCACATGATCAATAAGGAAAAGTACTATGCAGGTAGTGGCCTAGGACACCTGAATTGGTGTGATTATGTAGAAAATGCCTAACTATAGCTATATGTCATGTTAAAAAAAAAAAATCTTAAAATGAGAAATTAAAATTGTTAGAACTTTTGTTCCTTGAGGAGCTCCTGAAAAAAGGCAGCCAGAAATCAAAGACATTGCAATATGCCGAGTTTAATAGATCAATCTTAAAAAAAAAAAAATCCAAACACTTATTTTTTAGTATGAAAAAAGATCAGAGGTTTTCTTTATTCACTACTGACAGTCTCTTTTCTCCCTGGTGGTTCTTCTGATTTTATATGTAATGGCTACTAAAGAAGGGGAGTTGAAAAGCCTCTAGCCCATAACTTATTAAAAATTTACAAATTGTTCCATCAGAAGTAAAATTTACAAACTGAGCCAACATGAGGTGAGAGTCACAGTAAGGTTGGATTAGGATCAGTATGGCCGCTTTCATTAGGCACATTTGTATGATAGTAAGTGTGGTTTCTAAAACCTACTTTCCACTTCATGTGAAATGCATCATTTAAGTTCCTTCCCAAAAAACACATTCATAATTATTGTCAGTATTATGTCTTTTTAAAATGTAATCTGGGCTCTAAGAACATAAGAATGGCCATACTGGGTCAGACCAAAGGTCCATCTAGCCCAGTATCCTGTCTTCTGACAGTGGCCAATGCCAGATGCCCCAAAGGGAATGAACAGAACAGGTAATCATCAAGTGATCCATTCCCTGTTGCACATTCCCAGCTTCTGGCAAAGCTTGAGAAGCTTCATATTTAAATAGGCATTGTTGCTTTTGGACCATGCTCCAGCACTTTGGCAGCTGTTTCCTTGTTGCATACCTAAACTAAATATTTTCTGACCACATACAGAAGTGTTACCTCATCTAAGAATTAGTTAGGGATACTGATACTCCAGGGCATATTTACTACACATGCACTGATCACCTCATTTCCTAAGCTCTCATGCCTTTGGCACTCAGCACCCCAGGGGATTTTATGGTAACTAGTTATGCTCTGTGTATTCTAATCCTTTAAATTGCACTTCTTTAGCAAGTCCTATTAATGTTAATTTGTCAAACAAAGAAAGGTTTTATTGTTTAAAAAAAACCTGCAGTGTTTTCTGATCGATCAGTTTTCTCATCTTCCGGTACATTTTGTATCTGAATTGTATTGTTTGCCTAGATTGTAAGCTCCTTGGGGCAGGAACCATATCTTCCTTGGTTTGTACAGAGTCATGCAGTCTATCAGCACTACTGTGCAGCAATGATTATTGGAGAAAGAAAGGTGCTGTGGTCCAATGTCCACAGCACTGTAATGGAACTCAGACCCAGGCTCTGCTACTGTCTGGCTCTGTGACCTTGGGAAAGTCACTTCACTACTGTATTTTTATTTCCCTTTCCACCTTTTGACTGCTTAGTCTAGTTAGACAATAAGCTTTTTTCAGAGTAGGACTGTCTCTTACTATATATTTATACAGTGCCTAGCACAATAGGGCCTGATCTTGGTTGGGGTCTTTAGATGTTAACAAAACACTATTTATTTATTTGTGGTTTGGCTTGATGTGGAAACCTGTCTGCCAGGAATTGCACTGAGACCACCTACTTTTCACTTTGCGACTACTTGACAGGAGCTTGAATCTACACCCTGAGGTCTGAACACGGCAATTTGTTTGAAATCCACACTTTTCCATTTTGAGCAGTAGTTGTGTTCAGTGTTTGTATTTGACACATTATGGCCCTGAAACTCAAATCCAATTATAATGTTCAGATTTAGGGTTTTGGTCAAGTCTACCTCTGGTCGCAACCTGAGTTAGATTCAAACTGGTGAAAATTTATTTAACCCCTCACTAACCCCACGAGTCTTCAAGTTTCTGTTTTATTCTATAAAAGTAATTTTGAGGGACCACTTTTTAATATTATTTGGCTGCTAAGAAAGGGAGAATCTCCTTTATTAACAAAGCACCTCCCCTTTGCTACCATTATTCAAATAATTAGTGTCACCCTTGACCTAGAACTGTCTTCTCCAGTATCTCCCATATGTGTAAATATATACATCACCAAATATGCCACAATACCAATGTACATCTTTACCCCAACCCTTACTACTGAAAATACTCATTAATGCCTTCATTTCCTCTCAGCTTGACTGTTATAGTTCCCAGCTCTTCAGACTCCAGCATATGAAGTATGCTCCTGCCAGGTCTGCCTCATAAATACAAGAAGCACAACCAAATTACATGTATTTACAAACAATTTTCTAGTCATTTCAGGATTGATTTCAAGTACTCTTTGATCCAGTTCACAATTTCCCTCCTTGAGACAAATTTTACTCAGTTAGTTACGCTGGTATAAATCCAGAATAACTTAATTGCAGTTAATCTTTGACATTCACTAAAATCAAAGGAGTTACTATGGATTTACCCCAAAATGTGACCCCTTATGTTTAAAACCTGACATGGACCTGGTCCGTCTTAGTCCATCTTCTCCCCTACCCATTTCTTCTGTTAGACTCACTGCCCCTATGTCCTTTCACACAGTATCATTACTGTTGGTGCAAGAGCCTTCTTTATAGCTTCTGCCATCTGCCTTCCTGTGTTTCTATCTTGAACTCTTTGTCTGCTCCCTTGCATCTACCTCATAATTCCTCTTTCCCATAATACCTCAGAGACCTGCTATTTAACTTTTGAATTGTATTATTTCTTTCTGTGATTATATAACCTAGCTGTGTAAAACATTTTGGGATATAGTTTGTATGAAAGTTGCTGTACAAAATAAAGCAATATTGTATTGTAAATAAAGTAGTAACCTCAACAAATTGGAGTTTGACACATGTAGTTGCCATTCACAATTTCCAGAAAATGGTATGAAACTTGTATCAAATCAAACTGGTATCAAATTTGTACTTGTCAATGTAGAAATAGTCTCTATAATAATGTTGGGTTTTTTTGCCAAAATTATATTGCCAGCTTTACAGTTTATTTGCAATCAAATGTTTAAATTGATAAACAATGGGGAACTGTCAGAAATTACGTGTTTAGTTTTTTAAAAATTCATTATTTGGCAGGCCAACAGACCATTCTCATTTTATAACTTCTCCATTCAAAGTACAGAAAATTACCAGCTGCTGAAGTGGAGCTGACGTAAAAATCCTGAATAAAGCTTAAGACGTAAGCAATTGCTGATATTTTTAACAATAATATTCATATTGTTAAAAGATTTTTAAGGCGGCATAAGAGATTTAGACACACATCTTCCATTAAAAACTGAGGATAATGATAAATATAAACTAAAAGAAGTGTGTTACTACCGAACTGTTTATATGAAATTCTATTCTAAGT